TCCTCATGGACATATTACTTTTCTGTCAGCATGAGAAGGAAGAAAACACTGGAGGTTCCCTGGATATCTCTCATGTCATGTGGTCTGAGCTTCTCTCCGCTATCTCCGAGCGCAAGTGCCTTATCTATGGTCCATTTATCATGTTGCTTATTGAGAAGGCTTGGGAGCACACTTATCCTGGTGTCGTGCTGGAGACTAGCGAGTTGATCTCTCATGATATCAAGCGTCTAAGGAAGAAGGAGAACTGGGGCACTTCGGTTCCGAAGTCTGGGTTTCCGTTAGGTGTTGACGAGGTTGAGGCAGAGGCTAATGCTGACGATGATGAGGATTATGTGCCCTCTGGAGCAGAGCCCTCATGGGCTAAGAAGCTTAAGGCCAAGATGAAGGCTCTGATCTGCATGCAGGCCAAGGGATAGTACAAGGCTCATGTGAACGCCAAGATGGCTCGTCGTCGCGACAAGGCAATTATGAGGTAGGTTGGTCTTGAGGTTGCGAGTGGCTCCGAGGAGACAATCACAGATGAGGAACCATGGATCCGTCAGCACTACCAGTGGAGTGAGTCTGAGGAGGATACCGGAGTTCGCTCTTCATCCCGTGCTGCAGAGGAGTCTGAGGAGGAGGAACATGACTGGTGATGCTTTGGAGGTCTACCACCACTTGTGTCGTAGGTGTCCTCTCTGCCTTTTTGGTGTCTCGATGCCAAAGGGGGAGAGAATGTAGGATTTGCGAGCCTTGTATCGAGTCTTGTGTCGCTTTGCTTTCGTTCCTTTGAACCTTCGTTGCTTTGGTTTGCTGGTTTGTGGTTGTGTTCGTGTGAGACCAGGAGACTATCATATGGTGCAAGACAGACATATGCCGTCAAGCTTATCTTATTGTCTAGTATGTTTAGTATATTGTGAGCTTTTGTGCCCCTTACTTCATGCTCACTTACTTTACCTTGCCTCCATGCTTATTGTCTCTAATATGGTTGCATGTTTTGCCTCGTCTATAAAATATAGGGGGAGTGTTGATCCTAGTATGTGCGTCGTGCAGTCCAAAGCATATCTATAGATTGCACACATCTAGGGGAGCCTATCTATATTTTATAGTTGTTGGGTTTGCTTATGTTCATTTCATATCCTTATGTGCAAATCCCGTATTGTCATCAATTCACCAGAAAGGGGGAGATTGTAAGGGCATATTTCTCCCTATGTGGTTTTTGGTGATTGATGACAATGCTTTTGCGGACTAATCATGTGCATTGAGCATTTCAGGTATCCCATGTCTAGGCACAAGACTATTCGTTGCCCCTCGGAGTTTTAAGTGAAGACGGTGTAGTCTCTTTCGTTTCGGTTTTGGTGGACTTGAGTCGTAGGAGACACTGTACTATCAAGAGGGGGTCCGCATTGTAAAAGCTAGGGTGGAATCAACACGTACACTTCATATTTGCACCCTAGCTCATTTCATTTCCTTGGAGTTTGTGATTTCATTGAAGTGGAGGTTGTGAGGTGCTAGCGGTAGTACTGCCGCCAGAGCGGTAGTACCGCCCATGGTCCTCAAGCGGCAATACCACCGTTCCACAGCGGTAGTACCGCTTGGGTGCATTGGCGGCAGTATCGTCCTTGGTTGGCACTGCTATCGCCTTGATTCGAGGGTGCTCTCCTCATGTCGGGTTGTGCGGCAGTAGCAGCGGTAGTACCGCCCGTGAGCGGTAGTACCGCGGCTACCACCGCTACTAGTGCCGCCCAAACCCTCTCTCTCCCTCCCATTCCCCCTTAGAGGCATATGTTCTCAGTCACCGCGGTAGTACCGCTGGCACCAGCGGTAGTATCGCCCCACTGAGCAGTAGTACCGCTCTGTGCGGGCTGAAAAGGGGGTAACCGTTGGATTGTCCCCCAACTATAAAAGGAGGTCTTCTTCCTCAAGTTGACTTACCTCTTTTCCCCCAAGCTCCATTGTTGCTCTAAAGCTCATTTTCGCCCCATCTTTCTCCCTAGCCAATCAAACTTGTTGATTCTTTAGGGATTGGTTGAGAAGTCCTGGATCTACACTTCCACCAAGAGAAATTTGATTCCCCCCACTAATCCCTTGCGGATCTTGTTACTCTTGGGTGCTTGAGCACCCTAGACGGTTGAGGTCACCTCGGAGCCGCATTCCATTGTGGTGAAGCTCCGTGGTATTGTTGCGAGCCTCCAATTGAATTGTGGAGATAGCCCCAACCTTGTTTGTAAAGTTTCACCTTCAAGGGCACCAATAATGGAATCATGATATCTTGCATTGTGTGAGGGCGTGAGGAGAATGCGGTGGCCCTAGTGGCTTCTTGGGGAGCATTGTGCCTCCACGCCACTCTAACGGAGACGTACTTCCTCTCAAAGGGAAAGAATTTCGGTAACACATCCTCGTCTCCACCGGCTTCGCTATTGGTTATTTCTTACCTTTACTTGTGCAAGATTATATTGTGTTGTTTTCCTAGCTTGCTTGTGTGCTTGTTGTTGTTGCATCATATAGGTTGTTCACCTAGTTGCACATCTAGACAACCTACTTTGATGCTAAGTTTAATTTGGTCAAGAAAAGCTAAAAATTGTTAGTTGCCTATTCACCACCCCCCTCTAGTCAACCATATTGATCCTTTCACCATTTCTACTGCTATTTTTCTCTCCCTTCTCAACAAGCCTTCAAGGTCCCAGATTGTCTAAGTATGTCACACAATTCTCAAAAAAACTTAAGAAATGTACACACAAATCTTCATTATTATATTGTGCAAGCCAAAAAGAAGCAAAAGGGATGCTCAAGAACTATAGGAATGAAAGACATCAGGAACCTTAAGGGAGTAAGTAATGAAGACACTGAGAGCATCCAACATCACTAGACAGTTGATGTCAATGGGTCCTATTGTCTTTTACCATTAATGTAAAGCATGTACATGGAGATCTTCAGTTTCTAGACATCCAGGAAGCAATGCATTTATACAGTAGAAGCTATAAGTCAAAAATAGTATGAACTTGGAAATTTAAGCCCGCTAACAAACTTCATAAACTTAAAAACGACGAGGGGAAAAGATTGGGGAAATGATCCAATGAGTCGGCTGATCCCACTTGCTCCATTGTTCACACGCCGGACCGTCTGATTCGTTTTGATCGGACCAACCAAGTGAAGGCGTAGAGGAGACGAGAAACTTCCCGAAACGCTATCTTCTCACTCGACCTTATCCACTCATTCGATCCGTCTTCCTCATATCTTCTTTTTCCCAATTCTCTCCCTACTCCGGCAACATATAAGACAATGCTCTCTCCTTTTCCTCCTTCGTGCTTCCATGGACAGCCGACACCGCGAAGACGCTGCTGCGAGGAGGCGCTGCTAGCAACAAGTAGCAAGCACCAGATGCAACAAAGGTCTTGTTGCAGGATCCATGGAGTGTGTATGAATAAATTGATGATGCTCCTGTCACCTACGGAACCTCATCGTCTAGGTCCATGGAGTGCCTGCTTCAAGGTGCATGTGTTGTAGGCCAGGCCCCGGACGCTATAGGCGTGTGTCGCTCATCGCTGATTTGTAGACGAAATCCACGGGCTAATGCTACAATTGCTTTAGACGGAATTTTTGCAACAAAGGTCTTATTGCAGGAATGCAGAGGAGAGGTCGGAGATGTTGTAACTTTTGCAAAGGATCTTGTTACAGGAATGTAGCAAAGAGATTTTTTTATACAATAAAGGTCTTGTTGCAGGAATAAAGAGAAGAGTTTTCTTTACAACAAAGGTTTTATTGTAGGAGTAAAGAGAAGAGGATTTTTTTTTGCAACAAAGTTCTTGTTGCAGGTATGTAGATGTAGAGAAGAGGCCTCAGATGTTGCAATTTTTGCAACAAAAGTCTTGTTTCTGAAATACAAAGAAAATGTCAAAGATACTTTTGTAACAAAGATTTTGTTGCAATGGAGTTTTGCAACAAAGGCACTGTTACAGAAAATTAGAGAACAGGAAATCAAACGGGAAAATCTTGTGAACAGCCGGCTGATCCAACACCGCGTGTCCGCTGCCTTGAGCGTGTGACGCATGTCCCATGCGTGGCCCGCCACTACATCTTTACTGTAATTTTTCTGCAACAACATCCGCGTTGCAAAAATACCTTCCGCAACAACACCGATGTTGCAAAAAATTGGAGACGTAAAAGATGCAACAAGACGCGTGTTGCAAAAAATATATGCAACAAGACCTCTGTTGCAAAAAAATGCCACAAGACCTCTGCTGCAAAAAATATATTTGCAACACTAACCTCATTGCAAATATTTTTGCAATAAGACTTGTGTTGCAAAAGGAAACTTGCAACACACCATCTGTTTCAGAAATGAGGACATCACTAAGCCACGAGATCCGGCGAATCCTTTAAAAAGATTCGCACGCTGACGCGTAGCACGTCCAATAAAAAAATCTGCAACACAACACATGTTACGTTTGTACGACACGCGCCCCACTTGACATGTGCCCCTGACTCCTCGTGACCCTCCTCTAATTTTTCTGCCACAGCTCCAATGTTGCAGAAGTTTCTCCCGCAACATAATATATGTTGCAAAAAAGCGAAGACATTTTTTTTCAACAAACCTCAGTTATAAAAAAACTGAAACAAGACCTGAGTTGCAAAAAAAACTGCAACACAGACTGTGTTTCAAAAAGGTAAATAGCGGTTCCGACGTTTTGCCACAAGCATCCTGTTGCAGGACTTGTTCGGCAACACCGTCCTTGTTGCAAAAGGAAGGTGGCCCTTGTGAGTGGGTTAATCGGATGGACATCCCCGCGTCCATCCAATGGCCAGCAAGGCGGTGGATGTTTTCTAGCTACCGGTCGGCGGACGCGTAGCGTGATCCAAATCAAACGGCTTATGACATATAATCAGACAGTTCGCGGTTCAATCCGATCTTTTAGAAAGATCAGCCGAAAGACCAGCCGGCGGACGTATAGCACGCCCCAAACCCAAATTGTATAGCAATCGGCTATTTGTCCCCTTCCACACCTACTCTCAGCCGTCAGATGCCAATCGAATGGTTAAGCTTGTCAGAGCTCTCAATTTTTCGTGGTACAAAAACTCCCCTCCGCGGTCAAACCCAAAACGGAATGGCACCGCCGCCTCGCCTCCTCCCTCTCCTCCTCGGTCGCCTCCTCGTCTCCGGCGACCTCCTCCGCAACACCGCCCATCTCCGCCGCATCGTGCCCCTACTCCCTTCCCACCCCCACCTCGCCGCCTCCCTCTCCAGCCTCTACTTCCCGCTCTTCCCCTCCTCATGCATCTTCCTCCACAACCTGCTCATCCGAGCCTCCGCAACCTCCCCGTCTCCCCGCCTCGCCTTCGCCGCCTTCTCCTCCATTCTCCGCTCTGGCGATATTCCCGACCGATTCACCTTCCCTTCCCTCCTCAAGTCGGCGTCCAGGCTCGCTTCTTTCCCGCGCACGGGCGCGCAGGTGCACGCACAGGCCGTCCGGCGCGGCTTCTTGATCGACGTCTTTGTCGTCAATGCGCTCCTCGCGATGTACGCCGCCTTCCGGGACACGGGCTCCATGCGGGAGGTGTTCGATTCGTGCGCAGGGGTCACCGACGTGGTGTCTTGGAACACAGTGCTCGGCGGCTATGTGAAGTGCGGGGACATCAGGAACGCCCAGATGGTGTTCGAGGAAATGCCGCAGAGGAATGGGGTGTCCTGGAGCGCGATGGTTGGGGCATACGCCGGTTCTGGCGAGTTGGATGTGGCCAGGGAAATGTTCGATGAGATGCCGGCCATTGGGAGGAACATTGTGACATGGAACTCGATGATTACAGGATTCGCGCGGCATGGGCTACTGCCACTGGCTAGGAAGATGTTTGATGAGATGCCGGTACGGAATCTGGTATCGTGGAACACAATGATGCGGGGGTATGCAGTGAACGGTGAGATGGATGGTGCACGGAAGCTGTTTGATGTGATGCGGGAGAAAGATGTGGTTTCCTGGACGTGCATGATTTCTGGGTATGCACAGGCTGGACGCTACGTGGAAACCCTTGAGCTGTTCAGGGAAATGCAGAGCGAGAGCAGTGGCCGTCCTAATGAGGTGACCATGGTGAGCGTGCTCTCAGCATGTGCACATTTAACAGCTCTGGAAGAAGGGAGGTGGGCTCACACTTACATTGACAAGCACAAGATGGTGCTCGACAATGAGTTCAATCTCGGTGCTGCCCTCATTGACATGTATGCCAAGTGTGGGAAAACTGACATGGCTGTCAAAATCTTCCACTCCTTGGACCAGAAGAATATCTCCACCTGGAATGCACTCATCACTGGGTTGGCAGTGAATGGTGATGTTCAGGATTGCATCGGTTTGTTTGAGCAGATGAAGAGGTCAGGAGAGAAACCGAATGACATAACGTTCGTTGGTGTGCTGACTGCTTGTGCCCACAGCGGGCTGGTGGATGAGGGTCGACGATGCTTTCAGAGCATGTCATCTTGCGGAGTGCAGCCAGAGGCAAAGCATTATGGCTGCATGGTTGACATGCTAGGCCGAGCAGGGCTTCTTGAAGAGGCAGAGGAGCTGATAAGGAGCATGCCGATGGCCCCAGATGTCATGATTTTGGGCGCACTACTAGGTGCCTGTCGAATGCACAAGAGATTTGATGTGGCTGAAAGAGTCCAGAGTGAAATTATTGGTCTCAACACACGGCAGGCTGGCTGCCATGTCTTGATATCAGACATTTATGCTGCTGCTGGCAAATGGGGAGAGGCTTTAGATGCAAGGCGTGTTCTTCAGAAGTGCACAATCAGGAAATTGCCAGGATCATCCAGCTCGATGCGATAGGTTTGAATTTATTGCAAAAGCCTAAGGCCCTTCCGAGTGCTCCACCATGGACAGGTGCTAAGCATGCCACATAAACGAAAAAATGACATGGCATAACATTGAAGGAGGGGGGAGAGTACTTTGGTGACTCCAGGAAGAACCAATGCCAAGCGCGAGAACCTATGCAAACCACTTAAGTGAAATCATTTGACCAATGCATGAAAGACTTTATGTGCTAACTCATTAAATAAAGTGTGCTTAGCAACAATAAGTTAAGCACCTATGCATTCGGGACTTGAGTTGCTAAGGTATTTAATGCATTTAGCACCTCATCTAAACACCTTTGCATTGGAAGAGGTCTAAGCCATCGCATATAGGGCTGCATTCTCTAGCATTAAATGGTGTCCTTCCTATTGGTATTGGGATTAGACCATTAGAAATTTCTATTAAAAGTGTGAGGTCCTCTAAAAGTGTTCAACTGCCCTGTGTGCTTCATATCTGAATTTGAGATGAAACAGAACATATGCTTGTCCCTTCTTGCAGATAACCGTTTCTCTGCTCTGCAGTATTGGTCATCCGTAATTCTTGTAGAATAGGAATTGAACTTACCAAATTTTACTGATGGGATTAGCTTCTCAAAATTTGGTTGTATCATCTTTGCAATCTGTACAATAACATTTCCAAATTTCAGCTGATGTTAATATGAATATGATCTGGTTCTTTTCGATCCTTCTGAATTCCAAGCAAAAATTAGTGAGGCTGCAAAAACAAATGTCATGTATCTTTTTTGCTATGGTGGAGGATCATGCCAAGACGTCTGAGTAATATACGCAAGCACATATATACTCATGTGGATGTCTGAGGGAAAATCATTGATTTTTTTTCCTAAAGATATGATGGACTTTGGAATACTGGCCACGAAATATATGAGAGAATACAGGACGTATTCATCCAGAATTGTACTTTCTAACTGACAAATTCCTGCAACATTCAACAGCATGTAGCCGTATTCTTTTAACTGTATAAACTGCAGATTCTTCTCATATTTCTTCTAGCAGAACTCCCATTCTTCTAGCGATATATCTAGGACTACAAATTTTCCGAGAATATTTAGGACTAATACCAACAGACACCATCTTAAAATTATGTCAACCTTCTCAAGGAATACAAGGCATCAATAGAAGTATGATAAAAAGTGTAACGCGTTGTCGTTTTAAGGTACTGCGAGTTATACAATACTAAACTGGTTCTTTATTGTTCAGATCTTCAGAGTCAACACCAGCCTCAAATAAGGGCACATGGAGCTATATATCAAAGAAAGGAGTCAAAGTGGAGTCGGTCGGGATTTCTGAATCTTCATGCAAACTTACTAGCGGAATGGAACGACTAACTCCCTGTCAGCAGAAACAACAAGAATTGGCATATTACATTCAACTTGAAAGAGAATAGCGGCAGGAAGGCACTTTCAATTACTCCCTCCGTCCGGGAAAAGTTGTCCTCATGACGTTTTTGCAGAAAACCCCTCCCCAAACTCCCGACACAAACCGCACTCCTCATCGTCTCCAATCGACGCTCCGACACGGACGCATGAACGCCGGAGCTCCCCTGCTCAGATTCGCCGCGCTGCTTCCCTGCTCTCCCGCGCCGGAGCTCCCCTGCTCAGCTTCGCCGTGCTGCTCTCCCGCGCGTCCTCCTCCGTCGCTCCCTCCTGCCTCGCGCAGCTCCCCTGCCCCCCTTGCATGCCTCCCAAATCTCCCCTCTTTCACCCCCAAAATCGTTTCTTCTTCGTCCCGCTGCGTCCCCTGCTTGCGCGCGGCGACGACACGTCCTCCTCGTTGCCCCCGACGCCGGAGGAGGCACGGGGCAAGCAACAGTAGCTCGTGCTGCGCCGGCGCGACCTCGGGTGCGCGTGGGCGTACGCGCGCCGGTCGCCGCCTCAACCGTGCGCCAGTCCGCGAAGGAGGAGGAAGGGGATTTCGCCGCCAAGGCGCCCTGGGCATGCTCCTCGAGTCCCTGCTCCTCGGCCCCCTCGTCACCTCCCTACTCAAGAAGCACAACAACATGACGCAGGTCCTCTCCTCCCTTGTCAGCTTTCATTTTGTTTGAGATTATTTTGTCCAACAACTCCGTGGTTTGCTTCCGTTGCACTCAGCACGATTCTGGTCTTATTAATGTTGGGGGCGAGCAGATGCGGCAGCGCACGGTGATCCAGTTCTTTCATTTAGTCAAGTTCTTTCATTCAGTCATGTTCTTTCATTCAGTCAAATTCAGTCAAGTTCTACTAATCCCGCCGCAGGGTAAGACAGTGTGTGTCCCTTTGAAATTGTCACTTGAATTTTGTATAGTTCGGATAGATGTTCCAGTTCTTTCATTCAGTCAAGTTGTACTGAAACTTTCCGCAAAAACAAAAAAATAAAATTCTGCTGAAACTGAGAAAAGGCACAGAAACATGAATGTGCTGCCATGTGCCTGAATGTGCTGATAATTCTTTCTCAAATTAGCCTGAATGTGCTGCGCTGACCTTTGATGATAGTGTATTCTTCCAAATTATGCATGAATCTGTAGCACACCATGACACTACTATGCATGAATCTGTAGCACACATGGTCTTTTTAACACTTTTCAGTTTGCATTATCCTGGAGATAGAACATGGATCTCTGAATAATTTAACACATGGTCAGGCGTATAGGTGTAGATTGATGCCATCTTCTTGGATTGATCTTTCAGTATTGCAAGTTCTTGGTCAGGCTTATAAGTTGTCTGAACATTTGGTCAAATAAGTAAATTGAAGCAAATGCTACTTCGGTCAGACTATTCAGTTGAAACAAATGTTAGTCAACAAATGTTCAGTTTTTTGCACTCTAAATAGTCAAAATTTACAAATGTTCAGAAATCTACAGATTTTGCTCTCTAAATGTCAGTTAACAAATTCTTATTCTTAATGTCAAATGTTCTTTTTTTTTGGAACCATGCATACTCCGTTCTGTTAGTATGTTCAGTTTGGTAGCATGATTTCCCTTTAATTATGCAGGATCAGAATATGTAGTTTCAGTGTCTAGCTAGCTTAGTGCATTTTGATCTTGGAGGTTTCTTTCGGTGTGTAGCTGCTGCTGATGCTGAGGTTATAGAATATGTAGTTTGAGTGTCTAGCTAGCTGCTGATGAGGAATGATCAGGTGGTGGTGCTTCAAAGTTGGTGCCTGGCCATTGTGGCCTAATCACAGCCATCCAAGAGCTGGAGTAGAATAGAGTAGGCTTGTAGAGACCATGAGTGTACAATATGGCAGTAGAGACCATGGCAGTAGAGACCATGACAGCAGTGACCATGACAGTACTGAACATATACTCCCATGTATTCAAATAATTCCAAATTAAGTCCAATAAATCTAGCTAATTCAAATAATTCTAATTCTAAATTAATTTAAATAAATCTAGCTAATTCATGATCCAATAATTATGTTTGTCACTGCAAGTTCATGATCCAATAATTAAGAGTAAGTCTAAGATCATTTGGTCTCTGAACATTTAGTCACAGAAATTTGATTTGACTGAACATCAACTTGTCAGATCAAATAAATTCAAATAAAATCAAATAATTCAAATTAATCCAAATAATTCAAATAAAATCAAATTACTCAAATAAGTCCAAATAAAATCAAATAAATCCAAATAATTCAAATAAAATCATATAAATTCAAATAAAATCAAATAATTCAAATAATTTACTTGACATAGTCCAATCTTTTCTCATTGAACACATTACACAGAGAGATACACATGAGACAATACATACACATGACACATGATACATCAATACATCTCTACCAATACTGAATTTCAGAGTACATAAATACTGCTATCTTACTATGATCTTCATTTGCATAAATCTTGACAATCATTTGATCAAACACAGAATGTTTATGCAGTATAAAGAAGTGTTGAAAATTCAGTTACCACTGTTGCTTTGTTGATCTGTTGTACTTCTTGATCTACTACTGCTATTTCTCCGATTGTTGATCTGCTTCTTCACTCTGGTTCCTGTACTTCTTGATCTGCATCAGAACTAATTGTTAATGCTGGCATCAAACATTATAATGACTGAATTTGATCTACTCCAATAATTTATCCATTGACATGATTAATTGACACAAGTAATTGACAGAATCTGGAGCAATTGATTGTTTCCAAAATCTGGAGTAATCTTCTCAAATTACATGATCAGTTGTGCTTGACTGAAAATTTTGACAGGAAAATTTTGAATGATTTAATACTGACAACTCTACATCTCTGTAATTGTATGACACTCAATGTGGTGCTGTTATGTGTGTTGGAGTAACATATCTGTAATTGTATGACACTGAATGTGTGGAGTAACATCTTTTACATCTCTGCTTTGGTCAAAACTGAATGTTGATTGCTTGCATCATCTACTCTGAATGATTTTATACTGACAACTTCAGCATCTATAGACTTTGTGTTGTGGCAGCAGCTAAAAACCCTACATCTTGTCTCTCTGTTCACTGAATTTTCAGTGCACTCATGGAAGCATGCATTTTCTAATCAATTAACAGTGACAACTGATTCCTTTGGTCTGTCCTTCAAAATTATCAAATGCATTGTTTGGAATCCAGTTTTGTGATTTGGGGAACTATAAATATTCTGATTATCAACTTTATGTGTCAAGTTTGACATCAACTTGACTGAATATCAACTTGACAGATCAAAAGCTGACAGAAATTGACAGGTTTTGAGCATCAAGAGATCTGAATGCAGTTAACTTGTGTTGAAAAGTTAACTGAATTTTTTTATCAACATTGCACCATTTCAGCATGACAACTCAACTCAACTAACCTCAACTCAATTCAGCAATCATCTTGTAGGTTCAGGAATTATCTTTGCAGGTTCTCCAGACACAACAATAATCTTCAGACTCACACCACTAGTTGAACAGCAGCAGCAGCAGAAGCGGGCGGGGCAGACTCACCAGCACCAGTACGAGCAGAGTCGGGGCAAGGGAAAGG